TATATATATATATATATATATATATATATATATATATATATATATAAAATCTCTGTAATTAGTTGTAACAAAAACATTTTCAGTATACTGAAACATTTTCAGTATAGTAAAACCAAAACCAAAGTCACTGCCAACAAGTCGGTTCCGACGCATAGTGACCCCCACTGGGGTTTCCAAGGCTGTAAATCTTTATGGAACCAAACAGCCTCATTTTTCTTCCTTGGAATGGCTGGTGGGTTTGAACCACCGACCCTATGGTTAACAGCCAAATGCCTTACCCACTGTGCTACCAGAGCGAAAGCCCTCCACTCACTTACTCTGTGAACATTCTAATGCACTCAGGTCAGAACTGTCACTACTACCCAATTACAAAGCTGCTTGGAACCACACGGTTTCGTCTGCACGCACTACAGCAAGCGCTGGAGTATTTGTTGCCATCCCAATGGTGGTACAGCCGTTGATTTGGCTGCCAGTGTTTTTCATCTTTAAAAAAATGTTACTGCTTACAGACCAATTTATTTTGCATAACAGCAGTTCATACCCATTTTGTCTCATGACATTAGCTGCAATTCCCCACAATGTAACAGTTCTCTTCCCACTTCCTCCCTGTAGTTACCTCTTCCCTGTGTCCTCCCTTCTCATGCACTCCTGCCCTCCTGAGCTGTCTCCCAGTACAAACAGTGCCCTTCTGTTCTCCCACGATTGATTGCTCTAAGGAGGGTATCCACCTAATCTAAATGTTCACCCCTGTGGTGGTTAAGTTTGTGTGTCAACTTGGCTGGGCCTGGTTGAGTGGCTGGGCAGCTGGTGGTAGTTATTCCCCATGATGAGTCTGGAAATCAGCTCCATGATGGGACCTCCCACAGGCAGCTGAGTAGCTGCTTTCCATGTACAAGAAACAGCTTTGGGAATGGTCTCTAGCTTATGGCACGCTTGGACCCTGCATGTAGCTGTGTTGTTGTTCAGCAGCCTGCCATGCTCTGCCAACCTTGGGACTTTCAATGGACTTGAATTAATGGCCTGCCGGGTGGTTTGGTAACATTGAGACTGTGCCATTTTATTTGTCGACCTTGGGCTTGTCAGCCTCAGCAGCCAGTAGCTGTCTGAGTGAAGAGACGCCTCTAGCTTCAGTGGGCCGGGAGCAAGAGGCAGAGCTGAAGCCCAAGGTTGAGGGATTTTCACCCAGCCCCTAGAACCTGGCACTTTGAACTTGGATTCCTAGCCTCTCGAACTGTAAGAGAATAAACTCCTGTTTGTTAAGGCCACCCCATTTGGGGTGTATTCCTGTCAGAGGGGCACTAGGTAGCCAGAGGGGGTCCATATGCCTGTCTAATGTTTGGAAGCCACAGGAGTGAGTTCAATTCCAGACCTGAAGGGCAGCTAGGGGCCGTAGTCTCAGTGGTTCCACCAGGCTCTATTCAGGCCAGCAAACCTGTTTTTTTTTTTTTTTTTAATGATTTTGAGTTTTGTTCCACATTGTTCTCCCACTCTATCCAGGATCTCCTACATAGATCCCCCTCCTAGTGGTTGACAGTGGTAGCCGGGCACCATCTAGTTCTTCTGGTCTCATGGTGTACCCTTGGACTAACTGTTTCCATGCGTCTTTGGTTTTCTTCATTCTTTTTTGCTCTGGACAAAGAGAGACCCATCGTTGCATCTAGATGGCTGCTTGCAAGCTTTTAACATCCCAGTCGCTACTCGCCAAAGTAGGAGGTGGAGCAATGTTTTTGTGTATGTTATGCCAATTGAGCCTGATGTCCCCTGTGACCATGGTCCCAAGCCCACAGGTGTCCAACTACTCACTCCCTCAGGGTGGCTGACTGTGCCTGAGAAGTTATTGTAACTTTGCCCTCGTTAGTTCCAGTTACATGGACTTTCTTATAATTGTTGCCGGTGTCTTCAGTCACCGATTCTGTCAAATCTTCTGTGTTTTAGCTGTAACATTGTGGTAAATCTTCTGTGTTTTAGCTATGATATTGTGGTAAGTAGTATTTGTGAATCTTTACCAGTAACTTTTTTGAGAACGATAGTAATTAAAGGAAAAGGAGAAAAATCAAAAGGCTACCACTCAATTACCGATAATTCAATGTAAAATGCTGTCATTCAACGTAGAAAGATTTTATAGAACTATTTTGTGGTTAGCGTTCATATAGTCTGGGAGCTCTGGTGGTGTAGTGCCTAAGGCATTTGACTGCTAACCAGAGGGCTGGTGGTTCAAACCCAGCAGCCACTCCTCGGAAAGAAGACTGAGCCATCTACTTCTGCAGAGACACCACCTGGGAAACCCAAGGAGGGGATACTACCTCGAAGCAATTTACAGCTGTGTTTATCACATATTATTCTGTGACTAAAATTGATCCTAAACACGATTCTGTACGATCTGGTCTGGGAGGAGGATGGAGGAGGTGACACCAACCCCAGTGACACGCTGCCAGAGAGTGTGGCTGGGATGGGTCCTCCCTCCCAGTGCCCACCGCCCAGGGACCTGGAGGGAGGTCCTGGTCACCAGGTGTGGGCGACTGCTTCTCTTTGACAGTCTGGCACCCGTGTGCCCTGCAGTCTGAGGCCAGGGCGAGGGTTTGGCAGTGTCTTCGGGTCTGGGAACAGCTCCAGCTTTGGCAGCAAGGTCAGAAGCAAGTCTTCCTTTGCATAGCCCTGTCCCATGTAACCAAAAACTCCACAGCCCTGAGACACAGGCCTGCAGGGTCACGGCCAGCACCCGGTTGGGAGGGGTGTGCTCTCCACCAGGGCCTGTGCCCACACCAGTCCACAGCCCAGGACCTGGGACACCACACCCACAGAGGGGGTGTCTCTCCACTCACGGGGGGGGGGGGGCTTTTCCAACCACTCTCACTCCCTGTGGTGGCCCAGGGACTGCTGTTCTGGTCCAACCTCGTCCCAGCCCCACCCACTAAGGACTTTCTGTCCCCTCCTACCCCCAGGGAGGCCAGCCTTACCGTTTTATCTCCCAGGGACACTCAGAGTTCAAAGCAGGGGTCTACGCCCTGTGCTGACGGGCCCTCCTGCCAACCCCTGGGAGGTCAGGGACTCTGGGCGGCTGGCCAGGAGGGCACAGGAGGCAGGTGGCGTTTTCCTCCAGCAGAGGCACTGTCTGCAAACACATGCCTCACAAAGCTGGGGGTGTCGGCAGTATGCTCCGTGCTCCGGATGTGGGTACGGGGGGGGCGTGTCCCCACCAGTCACGGTGCTGCAGGTGGCCTTTCCAAACAAAGCATACTGCCCCCAGCCCCCTGCCTCAGGAAGCAGCAGGGTGAGAAGTTTTAGGCCAAAAGGGCCACTTTGGGGGGCCTCAGATAAACGGCTTTTATACTTCCTTGGGAAATAACCTAACAGGAAGTGCCGGATGACTTCCACTCAACCATCCCCGTGTCCCCAGCTGACTGGGCCTCCTCGTATCTCAGTGGTATCCTCAGGGGGAGATGAGAGGTCCTAGAAACGGGCCAGCAGCCACTACCCTTTCACCTTCTCAGCCCTGTTCACCCCAGACCTAAGGCTGCGCATACGGTTAGTAGCACGCTCTCAGCTGCCAGTCAGATGGTGGGAGGCTTGAGTGCCCCCAGAGGCACCCGGCCACTGAAAACCCCTCGGAGCCCAGTTCTGCCCTAACACGCATGGGGCTGCCGTGGGGCCAGTCGACTCCAGCAGCTGGGGTAGGAGGGCTGGAGGCAGGATGCCGGGCTCACCGTACGGTCCCAGAACCTGGGGGTGGAGGTGAGGGCTCTGACTGCAGTGTTCTGGAGAAATAAGCCTTGTGCTCTAGGGCCCTTTGCAGACCACTCCCTCCTGGGAGTTTGCTAAGCCTGCTCCATACACATTATATGCACATGTGTGTTATTCACGTGGGCG